AAAATGTTACAAATAAGCGAAAAAACATCAAGATAACGAAAAAATATAAAAGGTCATAAGAAAAAACTGACACATACGAACGCCAAACCCTTTGAGGGTTTTACTATACTGTCCTAGTACCATCATCCTTACTTGGAATTTCTCACCCTCCAGACAATAATCCCCAAAATGTTCCACAGTGTTATAAACAGGCTTATAAAGCTCAATTTCGTACTCACGCTGCTTTGCGTGTCAGGTGTTAGAATTTATCTAATGTCTAAAGTCCAAAAATTTGCTGATGAATTTCTTCAACATTCCGATCACGCTTCATTGCGCAATTATCGAAAGATCTATTATCTTTATTTCAGGCTTCTAAAAACATCTACATCATCTAGTGTTGCGCCTCGAACCAATAGTAATAAAACTTTTTACATATATATGAACTATAGATATATACAGACACTTTGTATTAAATTTTCTATGTTTACAAATTTTAATGGGGCAGTGCTTTAAATGGTATGAAGGTCTCGTATATATGTACATGCATATAGTATTATACATACATACATGTATTATACATACATATATGTATGTTAGATGCAAATGTATCAATGACTATTGTAGTGTAGGTAAACATAAACAGTACGTTCAACTGGCGTGTAGCCAGAGTTGATATACACAGTTGACTATGACTACATTGGAATACCAGACATTTACATTTCATTGTTGTTGTACACACATATGTATATATTATTGGCTATGTTACATATTCACTCACAGCGTCAAAGTGTTAGCGGCACGGCCACTCCTGAATAATTAATGATAGCTTTGTGTATCCAGATCGGTCTGTCTGTGTTATCTTCTTTTTATTTGCTTCTCTAATTTTCGTTATGCTTCGCTGCTTTTTTTGTTAATTTAGCGTTTTTTGGGGTTTTACACTTTTGAAAAGCATGGTAATGAAAACAAATATTTATAAAAAAAAAGTTGCGACTTTACAAAAATATCAAAGGTAAAATAATTTAAAACAACTATTAGTTTAGACTTGCTGTAAGTTTACGAAATCGAGTAAGATATTTTTTGTGTTTTTAATGTTAAAATTTTTTTTATGTATCAATATCAAATACTATATAAAATATTATAAGCTTCTGCTAGAAGGCCCTAAACTGTTATATTGGCAGTCGAAAAAGTCTTTTCGTATTCCTAATCAAGCTTCAACTTATTTTTTTAGTCGACCACTTTTTGCCATTTTTCGCCGCTAGAGACATTATTCCATCAGTGAAAACTTTTTCTGGTTTTTCGGTTAAAAACTACTACTAGCTCTCCCAGTTTTTGCCGAGTCATCAAAGTTGTGTGTGGTTTAGCGTTGTCCAGATGGAAGACGAAGCCCTTTTTGTTGATCAGTTCTGGCCGATTTTTTCAATCTCATCAGTTGTTGGCAGTAAAATGTAGAATCAATCGTTGGACCAAGCTGCAACAATTCATAGTGGATCATTCCTTTCCAATCCCACCAAACACTCAGCATAACTTTTCGAGGCGTCAATCTGGCTTTGCGACCATTTGTTGAGCTTCACCACGCTTGGACTATGATCTTTTGCTCATATTATTGTCGTATTTGATTCACTTTTCGTCTCCTATCTCTCGTTCGATATCATTACGTTTCAGCAAGGAATCGCAGATGTTAATTCGGTCCATTAAATGTTGCACAGACAATTCATGTGGTACTAAAACATCGAGCTTCTTTTTGTAATGGCTCAAAACCGTTTGATTATGAATAATAAGTTCCTCAGCTATGTCATGGCTGCTTATGTGACGGTCCTGGTCAATCTTTTCCATAATTTCATCGCCTTTTTCAACGATAAATCGATCAGAGCGAGGTGCATTTTTCACATAGAAATTTCCAGAACAGAAACAAGCGAATTATTGTTCTGCTACACCAACTGATACAGCATCGTCAGAGCTCTTTGTTTTCCTATAAAGTGTAACATTCCTTTTTCCCGAAGAGGGAAACAGTCAGTAAAAACATGTTGACTCCATTCTCGACTTTTTATTTGCTCTTCGTTTGAAAATATTGAATCTAGAACTATATTCGGACGGTTCTTTTCTTCAAAATCGGAACTTTTTTTTATAAATATATAACGGGTATTTAAATATAGGGTTTTTTTTTCTTGGAATTGAGAACGACGTGTGAGATTGATTTGGATCTTCCTCAATCGATGCGCTAGCGGTAGGAATATTCTCTACTCTACGGGCACTTCTTTGTCTCACTTACTGAAGAGAAATATTCCTTTGCCGTCCCCTACGGTCTACTTTTTTGGTGTCCCTTTTAAAAGCCCCATTCATATATTATATATTCAAAGTATTGCCCTTCAACTATAAAATTTTCCTATCCTTCTGGAAAATCATGAAATACATTTCAAAAGAATTTTGTTATCTTGGCGGCCAAGAATAAATCAATCTAATTTTAATAGCCTGTTCTGATTTGAACCTCATTCCAGTGAGAGCATTCTGCATCGAACAAATGGTAGTCAGATTGAGCAAGATCTGGGCTATAAAGTGTTTGAGATAAAAATTTCAAGCCACTTCCTCTAAATAAATTTTAACTAGTCTTGTAACACGAGGCCGTGCTTGTTCATCATGATCAGTTATTACTTCGTGGCTAATCGCGAATTCCAGACGTGTTTTTGCAGTCACTCTGTAGTTTCCTCGTTAATGGCTTCACGCGGTTTTAGAGCCATCCTTGTTATCCCACCAAATAAAGAGCATGGCGTCATGAATATTCGGTGCCTGGTGAGACAGGTTTCACCGATGATATTTTGCAAAATGGATTATTATTGTAGCGTTCAAGCAATTATCATCCTGTATGCTATCTTAACTTCAATACGTACCTGACCCAATTGACAGAGCTGCTTTTAAACGTTTTGAAGTGGCTTCTTGGGTTACTTCCTAAGATTTTGCGATCTCTGCTTTGCTGAGCAACAATCTTCGTCGAGTCATACTTCCAATCTTCTTCCTCTTCCAAGCCAAACCACTTTTGGCGCGTTCGCTCAACAGGTTCCCCATAAACTACCGTGGCGAATCGCATAAGACCTTAGGTATGTGAAAGAGAGAGACAGAAGTACATTGATTGTTAAATAGAAGAGAGATACAGAAAGAGAAAGAAATCGCCAGTGAGTCTTAATTGCGCAGTACGTACTAAATTGATAAAGTTCTCAAGATAGTATTTTTTATGTATTCGAAACGGTCGGTACTATCACCTCAGTGTTTATTTAAATTATGTAGGATTGTAGTTCCCACATTAACCGCTTAAGTAGTGCCTACGCCAATAAAGAAGAAGAAGTAGTTCACTCATTACCAGCTGAGTCAACTCTTCATAATGCTCGTCTGCTTCTGTCGTAAAATTTCTATAATATGGCAGGAGTTTTGTTATATCATTTCATGAAATAAATTTTTATCTCTTCACCGGATATTTACGACTTCTCATTCACAGGAGATATTTTGTGTGTCGTGCATGCTCTTGATATCTCATTAAGCATATTAGAACGCGTCGACGCATTTAATGCGTGCCCCATTAAAATAATGTTTCTCATGTGTTTTATTTGCCATCACACATTCTCTTATATGTATGTATGTATGTACAGATATCTAAGTATGTTTGTATCTACAAGACAGTATTTTTTGCACTTAATTGACACATTGCCTTATCGCGTTGACTTTACTCCCACCAGAGTTGCCCTCAAATGTCCTTGAACAAGATAACGACGCGTTGGAAAGTGCCTCCCCTTTTCCTTGCCTACATACACACTATGCGTCGCTCAAATGCTTGAAAATCGCTTCAATTGCGCTAGAATATTCATACTCTCGCATTTGACGCTTGATATGAAAATCACTCATTACTCGTCACTAATATGCATACTTGTGCTAAAAAATAGCATTCGATTATATGATGAAGCAACTGTTAAAATATCAGAAATCAGATAGTTAATTTTTTAATAACGCATTTTCTGATTTTTTATCAAAAATGTATAGGTAAAGGTCATTATTGAAATGTATGTTGGCTTTTATATTGGAATTTGGAATTGTAGAGACCTGGCAACTCACAACTTTATCGTAAAGTTTGACAGTTTTGATGTTATACATTCTCAGTACGTTTTGATCTACGACCGCTATTTGTGCTGGTTACAGCAACTTGAAATATGCATCACGGTTCTAAAATATCTATTAAACCGCAAATATTTTTGAGCGTTTATGTTTTACAACTTTTGACGTGGTTTAACCCAGCAACAGTGTCTCGATGAACTCATGAACTCACCGAAACTGCATTTTTGAGTACTGAAAACATCAATCTGATGAGTCAAGCAACGTATAGTCCTGACTTTTCACCGAATGACTTTCACTTGTAAAAGATAAACTAATAGGTCAAAATTTTCCGACTCCTGAAGAGGCAGTTGCTCTGCACGCATGTTTTGGAGATACCTGATGTTGTTGTTGTAGCGGTCAACTACATACCGTTAGGATGTTAAGGATTATAAAAGTTGTGGTTGAGGTGATCCAACGGCATTAAAAGGAAACGTGCTTTTTCGACTGGGTCGGACCATAGGAGAGACGTGTCAGATATGTAGAGCCAGCAGAGCATGCAAAGTGGTGGTTAGTGTTATGCGGAGACTCGTTGCACGCTGGAAATATATATACCTATTTAATATGTCAGGGTCAGTTGTGTATAAGTAGAAGTTTATACTTTGGTATAGTCACTCTCTATTCTCACGGCGACTCGAATTCGTCGTATGCAATAGATGGTGGTTTGACTCCTGGAGAAACTGCTTGGAGAAGAGTTCAATTTGCTCTTAAACTGGGATCATGCGGTCCTCACTTTGTAGATGTTCGATGAGAGACATCAACGGGCATCCCGTTGAGTCTGGAGTGCAGTGTTCTGACACCTCTGTAGCTTCCTCGTCTAGGTTTCACTGCAACCAGGCGACCACATTGGTGCAGCGTAGTTAAGGACCGGCCGGCCGACTGCCTTATACATATATTGCCAACAATATTTCTTTGTCTTTTACCCATGTGCTAGCCGGCATCGACTTGAGGATTTTGTTGCGGCTCTGTACTTTGGCAATAATCGTGGTCGTGTAAGGAGTGAAGGAACACAGGCTGTCGAATTTCATACCTGTGGTCTTAGAGTTATTGACAGTTGGAATTTTAACGCAAATGACTGCAATATTAATTTCAAGTCTGTACTGTACCTAGTGAGGACCATAGTTTTTGTTCTCTTCAAAAAAGTTAAAGAAACAGTGCTTGAAAGTTCTGGATCAACTCAAGCCCGCACTTAACCCATCATTACAGTTCTGATTGCTCCCAGTCATTCCCAACTAGGCACTATTAGTATATTTTTTAGTTTCTCCCCCCCCTGGGAAACATATTTTCAGGATCCTCATAATCCCTGGTTTCTACATGTGATCTCAGATATAAATCCCGTGTGATCAATTATGATATTGAGTTCCTTTTAGCCTAAACTAAGATGAAAGTGTAATTCTACATTTCCTACCTTAGAATACAGATTGTGCTTTTTTATTATTCGTTACTGTTCAAACTTGGAACACTTGTGCGGACACAAGTATGTACTATATTATATGTTGTAAGTATGTATGAAAGTACAGAATTCTAGATTTTGTCTTATAGCGTGGGTCTGTAATTTTACTTATGACAGTCCCTAAGGGTGTAACTTGTACTTCGCTATAATTTTTCATTCGTATATTAGCATCGCCTTGTTGAAATATACTTTAACGAGAGATACAAATTTATGGGAAATTTCCATTTCGATATATCTAAACGTGTGTTCAAAATTGATTATGCTATACATAAATAACAACGAGAAAAAACCCAGCTGTGTGCAAACTAAAGTTTTTGTAAACATTTCAAATGCCATACAATTATCTAAGTGATCGGGAGTGAGAATATATAGATATAAGTGCCTATGCCTACTATTATACCACATAAACAAATATATAACTCTTAATTAGAAATATAGGTAGTCGAGAATTAGTCATTTTGTACCTCCATGCTGAGACTTACTTTTTATATAACAAAAATTTATCAAATTTCGCGTATTTTTTTTATTTTTTACTAAATTGATTACATACCACTTTTGGTTAAATTCTCCTTCTTACTAATCTTAACATCTATAGTATCTATTTATTACTCACACGGGCATAACTGTAATTAATTGCACAGTAGAAACAATGGCATTTCCGGATATTGTTTTGCTGCCTTATCATTTGTTAGCACTGTGTCAGTAGTATTGATGGTTGAGCTAAAATATAGAGAAAACAATAATAGTAGGTTGATTGATTCGCTTGAGCTCGGGTTTGAGTTGATCGAGTATCGACAAAGACAAGTATTTCCAATTTATTAAATATAACTCTGCTTTCGTAGCTCGGATTACTAAGTTGAGAAAAGATCTTGCTCATACTGGTATACAACTAAGGATTGCGTGGAGTAAAATTGTCCGTTACAAAAATGAAAAAAATCTTTTAAACCAGTTGTCCGATTTTTATAAACTAAAATATGTTATTAAAAATATTTATTTTAAATTTGAAAAACTGAAAATAAACCAAGAATTATGTGTTATTAATAAATATTTTTATTTTTTTCCGGAACCCCGCCCATTAGTGCCTTTATGGTACTGTCCGATACTCTCATCACTTTCTTTTAACATTTTGAAGGTCTATGGTCACTTTTTTTGTTGCCTTCATCTCCTTTTTCTTTCTTTTTACTGAAGCCCAGTATCGCAATCGGCCTTATTTCTGGACAGTTAGGTGGATTTGCTTCTCTTGGTACATAAATCACTTCTTTCCGTTGGAACCACTCTAAGGTTGTTTTGCTGTAGTGACATGAAGTGAGGTTAGACCAAAAAAAAAAGTGGACACTTCATGTTGCCTTAAAAATAGGAGCAATCTCTTTTGTAAACATTCCTTCACATATACATATTTCGCTGTTAATTGTACCCGATGTAACGAATGAGCTGCTCCTTTTGCCACAACTGCAAATTCCCTGCCACACTAGAAATTTCTTTGGAAATTTTGTCACATTTTTGACTTTGAATTTTTCAGCAACATTTCCTCGAAAATCGGCTGTATAAAATTCCTGTCCAGGTAGCTGAGAAAAGTCCGCTAAAACGTATATCATCCATTATGCAGCATTCGAATTTATCGACGAAATCTTTCCTCAGCTTCTTAGCTCGTTGTTTTGCGGTTTCGTTCTTGACGGCGTTTCTATCCGCAATTTTCTGTACCTTGTACGTCTTCAGCCCAGCTTCTTTTTTCGTCCTGCGAACGAAAGATTCTCAGCAGCCAGCCTTCCTGGCCAATTTCCTGCCCGAAATGCTTGGGTCTTTCTTGAGAATGGTAACAACGTTCCTCGCCTCGATCATGTGGCCGCGTCTTTTTATCAGAACCTTTCTTCCTGTCAATATGCACATCTTCCTTAAGGCGTTTAATAACTCAAGAAATGGTTTTAGGGTTAGCCCCTACCTCTTTGGCAACTTTCTTAAACGACCACTGCGGTTTCTTTTGAAAAAAATTAATAATTTTTTCGCGCACTTCCACTTTGCTTGCCATTTTCGCGTTAAATAAACTTTTATTGGCTCTAACGGATGCATAATATTAGTTCTACAACTTTGCTTTCGCCGTTTTTTTTTTTTTTTTGTAAATTTAAGGCTTTATTATATAAAAACTTCCCTCCAAAAGCAATGCTTAATTAACACACGAAATGCTTTATGCACCATTTTTTTGTAAACTTACACAAGTTGCTTTATAAAAATTCTATATTTATTTATACCTAATAGAAATCATACCTAATAGAAATCATATAGATGGTAGTAGTAGAGTAATAGTATTATCTACGTATGTGTCAGCCTCAGTAAAGCGTGGACGGGTCTCAGCCGCATTTTTCTTGGAATTAAAAAAGAAAAGCAAAATTTCCCGCAACTGTCGAGAATTCGGCTCAAAAAGCGACGTTTTCAGTTGAGAATAAGTTTGGGATGCAAACAGATCACTACAATTATTTTGTTGGGTTAATGTTGACACACATATCCAAGATCGATATAAAACGATTTAATCGACCAGTGATTGACCCTAGAGCCATCTATTGAAAAACGGCGGAAGCAAAGTTGTAGACCAATATTTTTTGGCATTTATTTCAGAGCTACTAAGATAAAAATTTCTTTATTTAAAAATTTTAATTCCACGATATGGAAAAAAATGTAACGGACAATTTTATTCGACGCAGTCCTTATGTTTTTACCACATACCACCTGACATAATTCTCTTCTCAAACTTGTAGAACGGTAATATGTAATTTTTCTTTGAAACTCAATAAAGAATTTCACGTACATATTTTCTTAATTCAAACCTTTATTTTTCTTAAGATAGTTTTTTATCTATAATGCAATAACTCATCGTCCTTGTATTTGTCTTCCTATCGAAGATCGTAATGTCTTTATCACTTTTAAGGTTTTATCATTGTACGAGTAGATGTATCGTATGTATTCTTTTATGTTTGCATCATGTGGTCTTAAATGCTCTTTCGCCTAAATGTCAGTTTCGTTGCATACAATTTGAGCCTTATTGAAAATAAACTGTTTTATAATATCGTCGAATAACTTTGTTCTTGGTGATTATATCAACTGCAGAAAATGCATTAGTGTTTAGTTTAGTATACAGGGTTTGTCGGGAAAGTAATAGGACTGATTTTTTTCGGCCGCGATTATACTTCAGAGTGTGCGCGCACCGACTGGATTCGGTAGAGGGCGTTCCTAGCTAACGAACGAGTGGCTGGTCAGTTGTCTCCGACCACCTGAAGAGTCAAAGGGCTCATTGACGACCAGAAATTGCGGCGTGTGGAAATGTGCCAAGAAAATTTAAACATGTGTGAAAGTAACCCCCAATTTTTGAATACCGTAATCACAGGTGACGAGTCATGTATCTTTAATTCTGCAATTTCTACTGAGTGAGATTATTCTACAAAGAAGTTCCGATTTTGTGTGCGAAATCAAATTGATGGTTCCGAAGCGTTCTGAATGTTGGAAAAGGTCTTCATCATCAACATCAACTGATGATCAACTCGTCATTAAAATAAAGTAATTGGTACTTGAGGGTCGACGATTAACAGTCAGAAATCTTAATGCCATTCCCATGAATATGGGAAGGATTAGTGAAAGCTGTTTTGAAATATCATTTGGGCCTAAGAAAAGTGAAAGCATTAATGGTTCCAAATTCAAATAATTTTTTTCGAAAACCAGCGTCACGTTAACGTCTATGAGGCAACGCTTTCTGACTACCAGGATGCCATGAAACGTATTATTATTGGCGATTAGTCTTGAATATATGCTTACGACCCGGCAACTGACGATTAATCGACTGAATATTATGGCAAAAGTGAGCAGAAGCTGAAAAAACCACGTTAAAGATAGTAAAAAATCTAAGTTATGTTGACAGTTTTCTTCGATTATCGTAGTGTTGTGCACTCTGAATTCCCTCCGACCGCCCAAAATTGTCAACATTGAATACTATTTGAATGTTATGTGTCGTTTGTTGGAAGCTATTCGTACAAAGAGGTCGGTACTAAGGGCCGACAACTCTGCGTAAACGCACCGTCTCATACTTAGCTCCTTGTGACTTCTGGCTGTTCCGCAAACTCAAACGAGCGCTCCATGGCAACCCGTTTTAGTCAATTGTGAACATTAAACGGGAATCGCTACGCGCATTGAAGGCTATTCCGCAAACTGACTTTAACAACTGTTTCGCTGTTAGGAAAAAACGTTGGCGCAAGTGTATTTAGCCAAAAGGTGATTAAATTGAGGGGGCGACATAGATTGCGAAAAAAATTCATAATTTTCAAATTTTGAACAATCATTCATCTACTATTTCTGATATTTTTTATAACTTTTTCCTTTGTTTATATTCCATAAAAGCAATATTTAATTGGAATCCCCTTTTTTGGATTTTATATGCATCACCTAGACACATATCTCATATCTACAGGTTATTAAACATACATATGTATACCCCCGCTTAGATGAGTGCTCATCACAACAAAAGAGCTGGTAATTTTTACATATGAAGTACCAGATAGACAAGTAACTAAAAAATGCTCTCCCATTTCATAAAAATATCATTTTATTTTTACTACAGTGTTTTCTAAACACTTCTGCTACGCTGCTCTTCATTTTCGATGAGTAGTTTGGCTCATTTATAAGCATTCATTCATTCATTAGCATTACACCAGTGCATTGGTTCGGTTGCGTTGATTACGCGCTCACCATTTACGCCTTCAATTGTTTCCGGAGAGTGCGATAAGCAAACATAAAAACGATCGATTGAATGTTGTCTAACTAAACGGCAACAATTCGCTTAGACCAGTCTTATGTGAGCGATCTTCTGGAAGCGTTCATTTTACGGACTTAAATGCGTTAAAATATTGAAATCAAAAATAGAAAAAAAAAAAAACAAAACACATTTAACATAAAAACCCGAACACAGCGCGTCACAACTCATTAAATTTTAGTTTCGTGTGTGTTTATGTTTGAACATATTATTTTACTTTTCATTCTTAGTGAACTCGCGGAGAATTCTATTTCGCTTGTGTACACAGTAAATTTTGACCCACGCGATAAGCGTTTTGTGGAGCGATAAGAGTATTTTTAAACGTGAAACTAGCCAATCGTGTTGAAACGGCGTGTAGTGTGAAAAGTTAAGGAAATATTGAAAGAATAATATATAAATATTTATAAATTATAAAGTGTATCAAAAAAATTAAATTATTAGTGGAGCCAATTACTATTTATCAAATGTAACCGCTGTGACCCAAGGGGCGGCAATAAAATGTTCCGGTTAGTGTTGTTGCTTATTAGATACTATACATAATATTTTTTAATTGATATTAACGTCAATTATGAGAATTTAAATGTGATATTAATTAAGTTTATACTAAGCTACTTATATCCAACAGCCAACAACTACCAAATCCAACAATATTAATTCAAATGAATGGGTGATCCATTTCGAGGCTCCCTACTTTTTTAAAGAAAAAACACAAACTTAAAATTTAATGGCAATGTTTACTATCATTCGAAAGACCGTTCTTTGGCATTTAATTTTTATAGATTATCTCTTTCAAACGTTGGCCGCGGCTAGGTCTCAGATGGTCCATTCGTTGAGTCCAATATTCGATTACTCGTTCGAGTATTTCGATTGGTAACTGACTAATGACAAGCGTGATGTTTTGCTCCAAGGTCTGTATTGAAGC